AAGGGGTCTTTTCATACTTAGCAGCTTGATATATTTGAGGCAGGAACTGAAGGAAAGCTGTTGCTCTTTCGGAAGCATTTCAAACAGCTCACAGAAGTACATATACCCAGCAGAGAGAAACCAGAACTTCAATATAGACTTATTTTTCCATCCTGCTACTTTATTAGGTTTTAAGGCTCAGACTAACACCGAGATCTTACATATTTAAAAAAAAAATCATGCAAAAGGTCATGACATATGTTCCTCCCATAGCTAAAAATGGGAAAGAGCACTGCCTACTAGTCAGTGACCTCAGCTTTATCAATGCAGAGTTTCATGTTTATGGACCATCAGGGTCTTGGTTTGACATCCTCTCACACTCTAGAAGATCTATCTATTTAAATAATTCAGGCAACTAAGCCACGGGCACACACAGTTGGACTGCTAAACCCAGGCAGTCGCAGAATGATTTGACAGTCTGGATGGCATGAATAGTTCCCGGTACAGAATTTGGCTTTCTCTTGCCGCACACTTCAGGTCTGTGTGAGCCATTAACAAGAAATGTTATGCCCAATCTAGATTGTCTGAAAATGTGCAGGATTATTATGAACTCTCTTCATCATTTAGATGGTGACAGCCTAGCGCTAAAGCAGAAACATTAAGAACTGTAATTCAGATATGAAGAATTGAAGCATTTACTCTCAGTCAGCTGAGAAATATTTCTAGCAAGTCATGCATTCATTCCAACAGGATTTCTTAAGAATGGGCATGGAATGACAGAAATAACAAAACCCAGACTAAGAATTTCCTATTTGTGCTAACATACCTGCTTGCTTATTGCTTTTTGCAAAATTACAGAGCAACATGATGGACTCTTAATCTGAAGAATATTCCAACGACACGTCAACAAAAGCAGGGCAAGAAAATTTATATTACCAGTATTTTCTTTTCAAGCATCACAATTGGGCTGTGTCAGTTATGAGCTTGTACAGACGTGGATTAAAATAATAGAAGATATTATAAATAATTTAACTACATCTATCTTTATCATTGCTTTGCATGAGGAAAATGACCTATTCTTACGCATCTGTGGGACAGAAGCAGAAACAAAGTACAGATCTGTGAAAGCTGGAACAGTCTTTAGGAAATTTTGCCACTTGAATGGATTTTTGGCCCCAAAAGCTTGTGAATAGCTGTCTTACACCATTTTATTAAGAGAAACATCTCTCCCACCCTTGTTAAACTTTTAACTAAAAAAAACCCAAAGAAAATATGACCACCCACACAGACCAGAGACAAATTTGATGGCCCCACAGATGAATGATAAACAGCATGTAGTTTGTGAACTACTCACCTAGGTATCACATAATTTTCCAAAATTAATTACTCAAATTCCTCACGCTTAACATGGAGACCGTACAAACCAATATTAAGCATAAATGTCTGTATTTTATTTTATTTATTCCCCTCAGCCATTTGTCTCTATCCCTACTGTATCAATAATACTGCTTTAGGTTACACTGAACTCTAGACATACCAATTTTAAAACCCAGAGCACTTTCAGAGACTCTGCTTAAAACACAGCCATGCAGGATCCGCACTGCCAAGCTAAAGAACCACTAAACTGTAACAAGGGAGTTGAAAGAAGTAGGACCATTACAAGCTATCTTTACCGTCACAGAAATTGCAATATTCAGCTCTTTAGCAAAGATTTTACACTCCCTGCTTTCTGGCATAGACCAATGCTGCTTCCACTTCAGTGGAGGCTGTGGAGAAACTTGTCATAAAAGTAAAGGGAAAAAAGTAAAGAAAAGGGAAAAAGAAAAAAAGACAAAACCCCCTCTGGTAATTCCAGCTTTCAAGCTAGCTTTAAACCTGGATAAAAATATCTGAACTTCCTGACAGAGATCTAAAAATTGGCAACTGTGGCGCATTTTCCAGACCTTCACAATAAACTCCCTCCGCATTCACAAAATGCACAAGGAACCTAGAAGTTGTACTCTGTTAGGACTTTCTAAAGTTTCTGAATCGTGCCCTTTAAGCTCAAGGCTTCCTGCTGGCTTTTCTAAAAGCTTTTTAAGCTTTTTTTTTTTTTTTTTTAAGAACCAAATCACAACAAGGAATTATCCCACATGTACCAAGATAAATCCATCAGGATATAGAGATAAGCAGGCACCAGTTTGAAGCATAGAGCTGAAATTTTCATGGATGATTTACACTTCAGGAAGCAACTTCCATGCATTACTTTCCTCTTGTTGCTTCTCCACCACTGGGACCTGTGCAGACAGGTATTTCTAAAGTGCTCCTCTCTTCCCTCAGAAGATGTTAAAGTTGATTTAAATCAAGCAAGCTACGGCTATCTCTGGCTTTCTACAATAGGGTTTTCCTCATCATTGCCAAAGCAGGGGTGTACATTAATGAGAGGGAAAACGTGGCAGGTTTCTTAAGGAACTCCACTCACTAGGGCTTGGATCTGGACTCAGGCAGTCATGTGGAGGTGGCAACAGCCCAGCTGAGCTGCACACCACAGCTCAGCTCTCTGGACAGAAGAGCTGGTCTGCTCCTATGCTACAATCAAACTGTATGGCCAACAGACATTCAAAGTTCTCTGTTTAACTGGTAAAGTATCTAGTCCAGTATTTACAACCTAGATCAGACGTTCCCAAAGAGTAGCATACCCTGAAGTAATTGTATGCTATTCTTGATATAAGATACATGCTCTAGCTTCCAAATCCGTCCAAGCAGAGGCTTTCATCCAGCCTGCAGGAATTTACACCTCCTGCCAACAGAACATACACTTCCAGATCAGAATGTGAAAAGAAAGAGAGGACAAAACTGACGAATGATGGGAAAAACCAGGGAGCTGAGACCAAAGGTAGATGATGTTGTTCATTTGAGGTACAAACATGAAAAAATGCATAACTTGGGTACTACTGCAGATGAGACTCAGGCAAATTATGAAGTTTTAAAAAGTATTTTTAAATTAATGCTATCTGTAAATCTACATATGCACTCACCATTAATTCCACCTAGTTTAGAGGTATTAAAGCCTCCAGGTACTAGATGTTTCAGCTCATGTCATCATAGATAGGCAATTAGTTCAGAGTCCAAACTGGAAACACCCTACTTGGCTTTTTAGTTTAGCTTTTTTCCTTAAACAAGAAGAGGGCTAATATTCAAAAGATGTCATGTTTTTTCGAATCACTTAAAGAAATACTCCAAAATAAAAAGATACATAGATAACAAAATGCCACTGAATCAACTCCTTAAAAACAATCAAAGGCCTACATTTTATTCTAAATGCTCAGTATAGACCTATAAAAAAACCCGAAGACGCCACAAACTATTAGTATCTGATGGGCAGGAACTAAAATGCTTGGCCAAGTTCTCATTTTGACACCCTACACGTCTTCAAAGTCATGATACTAAAAAATAAAAGATTTTGGTCCAAAGCACTCTCTGACATCCACCAAGCATGCACAGTAAGGGAAAAGTTTTGGCCTTCCCCCTATGGAATGGGAATAGATCAAAAAGTTCCTTTAGCCATGACTAGGTTGAGCTTTTGTTATTCCCCTACTTCTTCCATTCTTCTAAAATAATCCACTCTTACATCACATTGCATGCTTCCCCAGTACTAATTGCCTTCAGCACATAATACAATCCAGAAATAACTCAGATGTAAGAACAATGTAGGAACCTTACAAGCCTTTCTCAATTAGAAGTTAAACAATGCTGCATGATTACACTAATTTAAACATATCTTTCCTTTTTCATTCTTAATCTAGTGCATCTGTGATATGCTGATGCCTGTAGTGATGACAGCATCAATTTCAAGACTCAAGGAAAAGGCATACACCAGTTCCTTCAAAACCCTACAAAAGAATGATTTTGCTACCAAAACAGAACACAGATTACAAACATTACCAGTGAAGTTAGTATCACGTTTTACTGAGAAAATGAGGAAACTGAGATAATGTCATCCAATAGCCTTTAGAAGTATTTCTGAAGCTAAGTATCAAGTCATAAAAAAGAAGTTTCAAGTTGCTGATTTTCCTTAAAGATGCTTCAACTTCCTATTTTTAAGCTCAGGAGTTTTTGTATCTAGACCACGTCAACAAGTATTATCTATGGCACTTTCTCTATATATTGTCCTTATGCTTCTATAGCAGTGAAAGCTGTGGCCTTCAGATGCTAAAACCCACACCACTGATTTCAGGTGCTAAAACCAGTACCTTTGCTATCATTCACTGCTAGCACAAGTTTAGCCACAGGCCACTTTACTATGAGGGAAAGCAGTCAAGCACACCAAGTACCAAGCAGAGGACTAACAGCAGCGATGACGCTGATGATGGTTCTTAACTTTTGCTTGGTTTAAATATCACCAGATAAACACAAAACTTTTTGGAAGGCTACTGGTTTAGAATAAAAAAACATCAGTCTATTAAAACCATGAGAATAGATCATGTTTATAAATCAGATAACGAAGGGAATTAACTCGCCTTCAGTCCAAGCTGCCCCGGGCTCAGTATTTGTTATCTTCTTGCCTGGCCTGGGGACTTTCCAATTTATTAAAATACAGCGTTCTACTTTGTAGGTGCAACAACCAAGAACAAAGCCCAAAGGCTTTTGTCCCTTCCAGCAGCTTAATTACTAATGACTGGAGAAGTGCCTATGCTAGAAAAAAGTAAGCATAAGACAAGCTTTTTCCTTGTTTCCACAGCTTCTTGTCTGAAAAATCTAGGCCTGCAATGTGGAAGCAACACTGCAACGTCAAATCAGGATTTTTAGCTTCCTGTTTTGTACAAATCCAAATAATCATCACACAGTGACTCACTGATTTTGAAGTTAAACTATATCCCTTTATCATAAACCATCTGTTTAATCTTTAGTCCTGAAAATTTCTTACGTGCATTTATGTGCTCCAATGAAAATAAATTTTAAAAATCCAAAACATTGCCATCAAAAACATGGAAAATGAGATAACATTCATGAAAATACTCCGAACTTATGCATAGGCTCACCTTAAATCTTTTATCCTGCAGGACTTTCTTAATGGCGACAAGCTCTCCTGAATCACAGAGTTTGGCTTGGTACACAACACCAAAAGATCCATTTCCAATCACCTTGGTGTCTGTGTAGCTGACTTCTTGTGGTCGGTCCGGACCTTGTCCAGGAGTTGCCACTACTGTAGTCACTTTGCTGCCATCCTTGTCTCCTGGGAAGCAAGAGATACACAAATAATCAAAATACATGTGTAAACAAGAAGGCCAACAAGACTGAAACACAAGAGGGTAAAGCAAAGATTTAAATAGGTATGTGTATTTCAGTGTTATAGAGAAAAATAAAAAACCCTGGCAAAATGCTAAGAAAACACTGAGCTTGTTTTTTTTACTGAAAAGATATTAAGTGATTACAATTTTTCATCTACATGATTGCTAGAAAAAAAAGATACCTCCCTTCCAGGAGCGAATAGCTGAGCAATAAAATGTGATGCATGCCGAAGATAAGTACTCATTTCCTACACCTGATTAACATAAGTGGTATTAAACACAGTGTTGTTTAATGAAAACAACAAAATGAAGCATTTCCCTATATTTTCCTGTAACCGAAGAAACCAAACTGTCAGTATAGCCTGCAGAGCAGCACTCTGTCCTTTACAGGCCATGCAGCTGATAACTAAAAAAAAAAAGCACTGACAAAGTTTGTTACAAACCCACCTACATGTAAAGCTCCAGCTTGCACGCATTTGGAAACAAAACCTCTGTCAGAGCTGGCTGTGTGCACCTGAAGCTACACCTGTATGGCACAGTCCTGCTCCTCTCCTGTCCCACCTCTGCACCTCCTTGCAATGAAGGGAGGCACTCACTGGGGCGGGGGGAGGAAGGGGATAGAAGGATGACGATGGCACACACTTAGCTCACATCTCGACAGGAACCAGGATGCAGACAGGGACATGGGATCAGGACGCGAGGTTGTGGTTGGATGCTGCCCAGGTGAATGTGCTTTGGTACAGATGCAGCGACTGGGGGTTTCAGCCACCTGCAGCCAGCCACACACACACTTTCCCAGCCACTTTCCCATCAAAAGACAAAGCCGCTCTTACCGAGTCCCAGCACCACCCTTATCACTCGTGGTGCATCCCCTTGTTCAAAGTCCAATTTTGTTTGTAATAGGAGCAAAGTTTTAGGCATTTTGCAAGCGCACGCTGGACATTTATTGCCCTTCAGTTAGGATGGCTCAGGTTACAGAATCAAACAGGGCGGCAAGAAAAAAATAGAATCTGCTCTTCCACAGCAGTCACTCTGCAACTCTCCACAAACTGCACTCGAGAGAGTGTCACATCTGCTTATTAACAAACCTTCCTTCCAGAACTTCCCCAGGGAGTCTCTTCCAGTCCTTCACTACTCATGCATTTAGAAAGATTTTTCTAACAGGTAACTCCGATCATCTTTAGTGCAGTTTAGGCAAATCGTTTCTTGTTCTGCTCCCAGAAGGCATGAAAAATGGTGCAGCTACTCCCTGTCCTCTTATCCCCCAACATCCCCCTTCAAATATGTTAAGGACTGTTGAAACAAACAAAAAAAAATTTCCACAATGGAGAAGTTATTTCTCTTTAGGGGACCTCTCCCCTCACTGCTCAAAATTTCTCAGGAATGGTACCCAAAACTAGACCCTGCAGAGGAAGCTCACCTCAACTCTACCTGGTGACTTCTCATGTCCCACTTACAACACCCTTGTTTGTTCAGCCCAGCACAATGTTTGCAGCTTGTGCAATGCTGCAACCTGGTTGACTCATGATCAGTTTGTGTACTAAACTCTCCTCTGCAGAGCTGCTGCCTGTCCAATCCTCAACCACTTTCCACTTACACACCTGGTTACTCTTATCAAAGCCTAATATTCTGCATTTGTCCTGACTGAACCACATCCAAGGTTACTGAACACTTTTGCCAGCTTGTCATACCTTTCAAGCACTGAGTTGCCACCAGGAGATAAACTTCACGTAGCATCGTGAAATGTATCTAACAAATCAGTGAAAAAACATTAATCCTGTGAGACTGCTTACAGACTCTGCAAAATCCCATTAAATATCTCATCCTAATTTTGTCTTTAACCTCTTGTTATGCTCAAACAAAATAACCAAACCATTTTGTATGTATTTCAGGGGATTTCTTTGACCTTGCTCACAAGGCCACACTACAGAGATTATCATTAATGAAGTTTGTACCTTGCTTTCCCCAAAAATCAAAACTACTGAAGTCTTAGGGATTAAAAAAAAAAAAAAAAAAAAAGTCCCTGGCAGTACTGGCAGAGATCTGAAGTACTTGATATCAAGACATCTGTTCTAAGGACATTCTTCAGAGCTACAATTCACTTAGAGGTCTCCTTGACTGCAAGAGCAAAATCTCAATTTGAGGCCACGTGAGGTTGTTCTTCCCAACAAGGCGCTGCAGTGACCCAGCCAACTTCTCCAGACCTCAAAGGAGAACTGCTCAGCTTTCCACACTTTACTTTTAAGCCCATGGAAAAACACCTCTTAACTCATTAAAATCTTCAGTGCTTTAAAATGTAAGCACTCACACTTTAATTAGCTACAGCAAGAATTATTTTGTTTCTTTACCAGAACCTTACAGAGCATTGAGCTTCCTAGGTGTTTCTCCCAATTTCCCTCTTTCAATAAACAGCGGCTTTTGCAAACCCATTCATAAAAAAGACACCATAAGGACTCCAACCTCCCCAAAAACAAGCCTGTTGAGAGTTTCGGTTATATATCATTACAGAAAAGTTGAACCTGAAGGACTGCAGGGTAAAATTCACCTTGCACCTTTGACAGTTTTGATCCCAAAGAGTAAAACATCTCACTGCTTTTCAAAATATACAAATAATATGTATTCGTAACAGTAGCATCCAGGGGCCAAAGCCTGTTTTGCCACTTGTTCAACTACAAAGATACATGTATTGTTCAGAAGCACATATAGAGTTCAGAATCGTTATCCCAATTTTTTATTGTCTGGACAGCAAGAGTTGACTTGCCAGCCAAACAGCATATAAAGGACTTAGCTAAATACCATTTTTATCCTCAGCATGACAAAAGATAGCAGAGAGCAAACACCCTTTTCCAGCAACCGTCACTACCTCCAAACTGAGACCCCGAACAGCAAACCCCAAGAAGCATCACACCACAGCAATTCTCAATGAGAAGCCTAGACAGTTTTCATCTCGCCCCTTTCACCTCTTTATTTTGTTTTGGACTGTCAGACTTCGTGGCCCCAGTGGCTAAGCAGGCATTGTCAAACACACAATACTCTGGACACCTTCAACTGTAGGTCTACAATAGAAGCAAAACATTACATTGAAAAACTAAGGAAGGAAGGAGGGACCAAACACCAAAATAGTAAACAGCTCTTACAGCACAGCTCACATCAGAAGAGTCACTAGTATTTGTCCAAAAGAAGCTGCCTTCTGGTGCCAATGACAGTATGACCTAGCTTTACTGCAACAAAAAAAAGCAGATTCCTGTGACTGTACACCTTTTAAACATCCAGGACAGGAGCATAAGTAAAATTAAATAGCTATCACTCTTCAGTACACTTGTATCTGCACTTAGTATGTTTCATGCAAACCTTTAAAGCATTTCCCCACGCTGTTTTGGTGTGTAGCATCCATGATGCGGTATTTGGGGGGTGCTTTTTGGTGAACTGGTTATTCCAGAAGTCTAATGTGCAACTGAAAGAAAATCCAGACATTTTAATTCCCAAATCCTCTGACCTTTCTAGCTCACTTCCCACCTTCAGCACACGATGACCATATGGGACAAACCATGACCATTAAAGTCAGTGGTTTGAAAGCAGAGAATACTCATTAGTTTGTAGGAAGAACATACTCCACTTACAAGACTAGAGTTTATTAGAGCATCAGGGTAAGCTCTAACTCTGTTTTCCAGTACCTTGGTATAACTTCAGAATGGCTCGTGTTATCATTTTACCTAGTGGCAATGGCCACTTACCCTTTCAAGGTGAGTATTAATTGAATTCTGTACACTCAAAAAAAAAAGCTAATATATTCAATTCTGTCTTTTGTTTATATAAGTCACAACCTAAACCAAAATGAGTACGGATCAGTATTATTTTAATGAAATAGTCATATGGCTTTGGAATAAGAGGTATGCATCCCAAAAAATGGTGGCAGATGTTTATCCAGGTGAGACAAGGGATTCTGCTACTGCACAAGCATTTTGTCACATAAATACTCCACCAGCTACAGATTCCGACTTCTAACTCAAAGCTCATCATCCTACAAGCAGATATACTTTTTGCCATTGCCTACATGTAGCTGTCAATCAATAAAGTTCACTTCAGCCCATGGAAGATGTTCTTTGCTATTGATCAGAACTCCCCCCATGCCTTCTATTGAATGAGCCTGGAGAAAGTCCAAAATTATGTCTGCCCTACATCCCCTTCAGCTGTTTAGCTTCTGACTGAGCTGTACAAACACACGTTAATGTACATATAGACAGAGATCTGCGATTCTTTTTTCTTTCAACTATATATATACACTCTTCATCCTCTTTTATGTTTTGAAGTTGAAGGGAAGAAACAATGAGTTAGTAGGATGTTTACAGCTGCTTTCTTCCTACTTCAAATGCAACCTCAATCCTTTGCACTGCCTACAAACTCCTCCTTTTCACTTTATCTCCTCTTGATTCCTTCCTCCTATTGCTACATTCTTCCTCACTGGCATGTGCACAGGACCTCCCATTAGGTGTTGCTAGGTTGTTTTTAAGTCCTAAGAGAAAACCTCACAGAACTACAACATGCTCTCTATGATGTCTGAGGTCATGTAGCTGTCTTGCCCCCACGTAATTCTAATACCTTCATCAATCCGTTTCATTTCTTAGTGTCATCTCCCTATTCAGATATGGTTCAATATTAAGTCAATATTGACTACTTCTCCTCTTCCCAAGTCTAAGGTTTCTCCACTCTCTTTCATCTTAATTTGCTCAATGTTCGATACAGTCAACAAGTCACTTCCGCGGAAACCCTACACCGCTGGATCTAGCCCCTGCCAACTTGAATAGGTTACAACCAGCAGCTGACACAACTATCTATAGAGAAATGAGTGACGAGAAGGGGATGGAAGTCTATCAGAACCGCACTGGCTTTTTGCAGTCATTGATAATTGAGAAGGTCAAAAGATCTGAATACTTCATGAAACAAA